CTCTCTCTTCTCTCTCCTCACCAAAATCTCTCTCTCTCTCTCTCATCGTCACTCCTATCCCCTCTTCTTCCTCAAGTCATCAATTTCACCATTGTTGCTAAGTTGAAGTTACAGAAAAATTCATAAAAATTCCCAAAAAAAAAATATAAAAAGCTCAGAACACGACAGTTTACTATCAAGTTTTTAAAATTTAGAATCCATATCACCCTCAAACTTTTACACAAAAAAAAAAGAGAGATTTCATGTAATAAACAAGAAACTTTTGCAACACATTGTGTTTATCAAATAAACAGTTTTTAAGAAGAACAAAAAATAAATAAATAAAACTTTTGCAGCACATTGCATAGAAGTTTTGTTGATGAGAGCTAATCAAATGAACATTTTTAAGAAGAAAATAAATAATCTAAAAAATATGTGATTACACACAAAAAGAAAGAAAGAAAAAGTAAAAAACAATATTAAAAAATATAACAATCTAACTAAATATTCAGTTTTTTAAATCACTAAATCAATTTACAATGAAGAGACCGAAAGAGTAAATCATTATATTTTTTTTACAAATTTATCTAAAATGTAAAATATAAAGATTGTTGGAACATTTTTCAATAAATAAATAATATTATTGATCTAAATTGAAATAGCATAGAAAAATAATTATTAATATATTATAAATATTTTTTACATTTCTATACCTATTTTTATAGTATTTTCTTATATATATATATTAATGTTTCGAAAAAAAAAAAAATCAGGGTGGCCCACGGGTTCCCTGGGCCTCATACAAATCCTTCTATGCATGTAAGATTTCGGATCGGACACGTCAACTCGACTTGACCGGAAAATAGTTTTGAGGCAAATTTACAACACATAATAAAAATTAGGTATTTATTTGAAAAACTAAAAAGAAGTTTTATTTGCAATTGTGTCTTCTCTGTATCAAATTCCTTTACCTTAAAAAAAATTATTAATTCTTCCCACAACTTTATTTCACCAAATAAAGGGAAATGGGTCAAAAACACCCCTAATATTTGCTACAATGTACATATTTGTCCATGAAGTTTCTTCAGGTACAAATATACTATTAAAGTTCAACCAATAATGATGTTTACATTCTTCCTAATAGCAAAAAGAGCTCTATTAGCTCCTCATTAACTTATGATAAAAAATGCATTTAATATGATGTAAACACTTGCTAATAATTCTTTGGACAATTTTATATATGCAAAATAATAATAATAATAATAATAAAAAACACAAAAACGCAAAAAGGCAAAATACTTTTGAAATTGTTTTGTCAAATGAGATTCTTTGTCAAAAGAAAAAATAAGCCAATACAAAACTTATATTACTTTAAAATTATACAGAGGCTAATAAATTAGGATTGTTTGATTTCAATATATTTTTCTGAACTAAAAATACTCAATGCATGCAAATTTAGCTGCTAGAGGTGAAACCTGTGCTTTCAAAATATGATAAAATGCATGCAAATTTAATTTTCTATTGTGCTTCCAGAATAATTTTATACATATGTGAATACTACTTTTTAAATTATACGTGATAGATAATTTCTCGCTTTATTTCAATTATAGGAGAAAAACAATATATACAGACCATATATAAAATAGAACTCTTAAGAAATCCTAAAATTTGATATATTCAAATCTCTATTGGCATGTTATGGGGACACAAAATATGAAAAAAAAAAGAAAGAATTTCACTTAGATTTTAGATTGTTAGAACAATAGAAGACTCAACAAATAATTTAAAAGGACATTAAAAATATAAACTGAAAACATTATTATTTATTTAGGAGAAATTTGCTTACAATGTTGATGAATTCCCGAGAGATGTCATGCAAGTATTTTTTATCGCCATGAAACATTGAATTGAGTGGTGTAATTGGACAAAATGTTTAAAGCCATACGGGTAGCAATGATATATACATTAATAGTAGCAAACTTTAATGATATATTTGCACCTAAAGAAACTTCATGGACATATATGTATCTTACAATAAACATTGGGGATATATACATTATAGCAAACTTTAATGATATATTTGCACCTAAAGAAACTTCATGGGCATATGTGTACCTTACAACAAACATTGAGGATGTTTTTGACCCATTTCCCCCAAACAAATTTCTTCCTTCACTAAATTACGTAAATTCAACCCCAAAAAACCTCAGCCGTTGGATAAATAAGAACGTTAACATCACCAGCACCAACTGTATTTAAAAGGCCGTAAAAACCTTGGCTAACTCATCACTAAACTAGCCGTTACTTGCTCTTCCTCCTCTCTCTTCTCCAACTTTCTCTCTCTAAATCCAGAAAACTCTAATGGCAACAGCTTCGATCGAATCCCGATCCGCTGCTCCCCTCGAAAAGGTAAAAAAAAAAAAAAATTCCCCTTTTTGAGCAATTGATTTGAAAAAAATATCAATCATTCAGCTCGAATTTAATGCAGATTTTTTTTTTTTTTTAAAACAGAGATCTCCGAGCTTGAGGAGCTCTACATCTCCTCCGTTGTTCAGTCCGTCCTCAGATAAGCGCTTTTGGAGCGAGCTCAGAAACCGCGTGGACGCGCTTGTTGAGAGCCGGAAGCCGATCGACCAAGCGTCGGCCTGGCAGAAGGTGAGGCAAAATCAAAATCCGATCTCGAAGCTTTTGGTTGCCGATTGGGAGATGGATCGTGGGAAAAAAAAAAAAAAAAACCTAATTTTGGTGTTCGATTGATGGTTTTGTGGTTTAGATTTTGATTTTGTTTTCGTTTGTTGATTGTTTGTAGAATCGCGAAGCGATTGATGGGGCGAAGAGATTGGAGGAGGACTCGATGCTTTTGCTGAGAGGGTTCGATTCAGTGGCTCAGTCTCTTTCCCAGCTTTCTAACAATCTGGAAAATGCTCTTCAGGTGAGACTCAGTCTCTTTCCCCTATATGCATTGTACGAAGTGTTGGACTGTTGGTGGCGAACTATATCAGGAAACCCATATGCATTGTATGAGTTTTCCCTTATATACATTGTATGAGTTCTTTTAACCTGTTGTCTGTTTATCACAGGGAGCTCGAGATCTAGCTAAACCTCCGACATTGACCGAAATTCTTCACGCCACCCTCGAGAATGCGAGAACCGAAGAAGGCATTTCAAAGGAAGAGATTAATAAAGATGAAACAGAAGAGGAAGATGATAATGAGGCAGATAAGAGAGGACTGAAGAGAAAGCTAGATACCAACCAGTGCACTGAAAATCAAGATGAAGTAGGTTTACTTGAAGCAGAGCAAAAGATCCCGAATGAGCTGGAGAAAATCAAAAGAGCTAAAAGTGTAGGTTACTTCGTAATTCTTCTGCATTATGTTATTCAAGTGTTTATTGCATATGATGGGTTGATTTGTCCTTTTTCTTATCCTTTTTTTCTTTTCCTGTAAAGATTGCAATTTCTATGGCCACAAAAGCTGCCAGCATGGCTAGGGAATTGAAGTCGATGAGATCCGATTTGGGGTTTATGCAAGAAAGGTGTGGTCTATTAGAGGAAGAAAATCGAAAACTTCGTGACGGGTTAGATAAGGGGATCCAACCAGATGAAGATGATTTGGTACACTTCCTTCTGTAGTTCTGTAAATAGTTTGCTTACTATCTCAGTTGAACTGGTGAATAGTTATGTTGGCCAATTTTTTACATGTTATGACTATAATTTATACGATCACGTTAGTTTTGAACTAGTATGAATACAGGGTTTATTTTAATCATCGAACAGAAAAATGAAAGTATGTTGCAGTATATTATATCGAAATTGTTACTATTAGGCCTAATTCATTTGATGATGTTTTGGTTCAGGTAAGGCTTCAATTAGAAGCACTTCTGGCAGAAAAATCGAGGCTGGCGAACGAGAATGCAAACTTGAAGAGGGAGAACCAGTGCTTGAGCCAGCTCGTGGAGTACCACCAGCTGACATCACATGATCTCTCGGCATCTTATGAGAATCTAATTAAGGAAATAGGACTCGATTTTTCGTCTCCCACAGAAAATGATGACATGATGCCCTTTAGAACACCGATCGGAGCAGATATGTCCGGGTTCCCTAAATCGTTGGATAAGTGCTTTGATGAAGAACTATGAATGAAGAGTAGGAACAACAAGATTTTTCTCTATGCCATCTAATTGTGCCTTTTAAAATTGAGTTTTTTTTTAGTGCTTATTGATTGGAAATGAAACTTTCCAGTCCTCATCACTGAGAGTTTCTTTTGCAAGCTTGGAAAAGTAGCCTAAATAAACATTCATAGAGAAGGGGTACATGTATGTACCAAAGGTTCAACTTCAAAGTACTAAATTTTATGAGAGTTATTGGTTGTGCTTACTCTTTTCATTATTAGTGCAATTCTTGGTTTGGCCTCAAGTTTTGGACAACATAGAATAAAATATGGAAAAGAAAATTATTGGGTTAATTAGCATTATTAATTCATTATATTTCCATTATATTTTAGACCTTCTTTTTTCCCAAAACGATAGATAAATATTTTAAAACTTCATCATAGAATATTTTTAAATTTCAATGTTGCATAGAATTTTAAATTTATGCAATTTCATGCACATTCGTTATGGAAATGCGGCATCCTACGATTAAAGCCACGTAGAATAGAAAAGTATCAATTTTTATTTGCAAATAATGTATTGAAATATTGATAATGTATATAATTAATTGCTTATACATTTTAAAAGTAATACATTCATAAATAAATATAAATGAAATGTATTCTGAATTAGTCGGGTAGAATAGAATTGATTTTGCCCAAAGTCCCATATAATATAGTTGTTCGAAGTCAAAATCCACACATATTTTTGTCGTAAAATATTCAAAATCGTCACCCGCAATTCAATAACCGATAAATCCGGATAACAGAAGAATCTCCACACGGACCACACACACATCAACCACTCAAATTTCTGTACTTTCCCTCCGCCGACCGCCGCTCTCTTCCGCCGCCGCATTTCCTCCCCACATCTATGGTAATATCCTCCCTTTCCCCGTTAGCCTCCGCCACAGCTCTCCGCCTTTACCTCCTACATCCCAATCTCACACCACGATCTGCTCGCTCTCGACCCTTCCCAGCCCTTCCGTTCGCTGGCTCCGCCGCCGCTGCCGCCCCGAGCGGCAAGAGGACTCTAATTTCGAGCTCAATTGATCAGAATCCACCGAGAAGCCTGTTCCCCGGCGGCTACAAGCGACCGGAGATCAGAGTTCCCAATCTCGTGCTCCGGTTGAGCGCTGAGGACGTGTTGAGGGATGACAAATCGCTGCTCGACGTAATTGACGGCGCTGTCTCCGGTAGGGTCGGAATCGTGGTGCTTACCGGCGGAGAAGGCAGCGGCAAGAAGCTCTATGAGGCTGCTTGTTTGCTCAAGTCTGTGATTCGGGATCGAGCTTACTTGTTGATTGATGAGCGTGTGGATATTGCTGCTGCGGTCAATGCGAGCGGCGTTTTGCTTTCCGATCAAGGTTAGTGCTTATGGTAGTACTTGTGGCACCAGCCCAAATCCAAAAAGTGATATTGTTTATTTCATTTCCTTGGATTGCGTACATCATTTGGTACTCTTGAGAGGTGTTTGGATCACTGAAACTGGGTTTGGGGTTAGAGTTGATGAAAAATAGTTCTCAATTTTAAATGACGTTGTTATTTATTTGAATGTAGAAGCTATATTACTGTAGCATTCAACCTTGATTTGGTGGTAACAAAATATTAATGAATCAATCTGTTGGAGGAGAATCATTTAAATCAAGATATGTCACAAGAGAGATGTCGATCGTGTTGGCTTTTTTTCGTTATCGGAAATCGGTATGATGTCTAATCATTTGTGGAGTTAAACTATATATATTCTTCAGTGATATATATCATTGTATAATTAAGCAAAGTTATATTTGCTCTAAACTCATTAGTGGAAATTTATATCCTCTTTTTTAGTTCTTTGTGTGTTGGTGTTTCTGTATGTTGTGGCCTATTTTCTCTAGGTGCAATGTTAACATTAATTCTTTTTAATTCTCGCTAGGTCTGCCTACAATTGTGGCAAGGAACACAATGATGGATGCGAAAACCGATTCAGTGGTTCTTCCCCTGGTAGGAAGAAATGTCCAAACTCATGAGGCTGCATTAGATGCTTTTAATTCCGAGGGTGCTGATTTTCTTATTTATACTATTAAAGACGCCGACCATCTGGAAGAGCTGGTGAGCTCTGTGTGTGGGCGTGTAAAAATCCCGATTTTTATTCTGACTGGCTTTCCAAGAGATGAAATGTTTTCCAAGAGACCTTTGGGTTCAGTGACATCAGGAGTTGATGGTGTAGTTGTTTCAGTGGATGAATTGGACTCGTCCAGAGACAAGGACTTGATGAAGTTATTTTACAGTGAGTACGTGCGTGGTCAAGTTTTTGGCAGTCTTGAAACTTTGGGTGCACAGAATGGATTTTACGGGCAGCAGATGGTCGGTGAATTTACTAGATTGGAAGAAAGAGAAAAACAGTTAATAGAAACAGAGAGATCGATTTTGCTTGAAGCTATCAATGTCATTGAAAGGGCGACCCCACTGGTGATCTTTTCTTACTAAAATTTGGTAGTTACAGGTGTTATTACATGATTTTTCTGTTCTAGTGGGGTTCTTGCCGCAGCGCATGTGAAATTTCATTCTTCAATGGCAGATGATGGACATATTGCTTCTCAAAGATGCCGTTTCTCAACTTGACGAACCATTTTCATTGGTTATAGTGGTAATTGTGTGCTGAACTTCAACCAATTCTGGTTCCAGGATATATATGGGTATTTGCTCTATATTTCAATGCATTTTTTCTTTTCGTTTATTAGATGGTTGTTGGTGTATTCTGGGCTTGAGTCGTACATGTGTTGGATTATACATTTTTTCGCAATACCGATTTATAGTTTTCATATTTCTGAGGTTTCATCCTTTCTAATTAGAATAAGTAGATTTTTTTAACTCATTCTTAAGCTTACATTTAAGCATTGTTGAGAATATGTCTGAATTTTTTAATTGAAACTTTCCGTCTTAGCATTTAATCTTTCTTTGTGTTTCATGCTGGATTATTGCTAGAAATACATATATGCTTATGCCATGAGATTGCAGTTAAGCTTATCTGGTAGTTACAACTGCCTTCATGTAGCATGATTTCCATGTATTCTCTGCCTTATTATTATAGTGAACATGCTATATCTTCATTCCTCCACCGCATCCTCCCCCCTTCCTTTCTCAAAAAGAAAAAGAAAAAGAGAACCCATCACCGTGGAAACAGAGGCATCTCAGCTCTTAGATATTATGCTTAGATTTTCATATTCTGATGTTCCTTCGAAGTGAGTGTGAGAAGAAGCATTTGTTTACTTCTTTATCTCCATATATTTTTACCTCAGGAGATCTAACATGAAATTTTTTAATCAATTTCACCAGGGAGAGTTCAACTCCGGAAAGTCGAGTGTCATCAATGCTTTTCTTGGGCAGAGGTACCTGAAGGATGGGGTTGTACCCACAACTAACGAGATCACCTTCCTACGCTATTCTGATTCTGAGTTCAGTGAGCAAAGGTGTGAAAGGCATCCTGATGGTCAATACATATGCTACATACCTGCTCCAATTCTAAAAGAAGTGAGTTTCTATCTTTTCTTAGCAATCTTGTTCAAGCACATCTAGGCCATTTTATCCATGTTCCTTCATGTCCTGCTCCCAAGCAGATGACAATAGTTGATACCCCTGGAACAAATGTTATACTCCAAAGGCAGCAACGGCTGACTGAGGAATTTGTGCCTCGCGCTGATTTGATTCTTTTTGTCATGTCGGCTGACCGGCCATTGACCGAAAGCGAGGTATGATCCAGTTGCATTTTTATGCAGTCTTCTTTCTTGTGGTACAATTTCTCACAAAGCTTTTTTTCTTGAGTGTACTTCATGGGGGCTTTCGTAAGTTTTAGCCATTGACTGATATTTCATGGACACTTGTCACATCTCTTGAAAATGCTTGTATGCTGTTACTATTTAACTTCGTTTGTATTGGGTGACTACAATTTTTGTACTGCTGAAAATAATTTACTGTAATTTAGTTCTTAATTAGGTCTTGCTGCCCCTCGAGCTACCTGTCGAGTTGTCTTACAATTACTAAGTATAGGTCTTAGCAGACAAACTGTGGCCCTCTAAATTGATTGCAGCTATTATTATTTGTTACTTGTCATTTCTTTTTCATCTAACTTTACCACCCATTAGAACGTTTCTGGACTATTTCCAGGCATACGCAAATATGTGAATTTATCTGAATAAGATTTTCTTTCCCATAACTCTCGTGCTTAGGCTGGGAAGTTACACTCTTGTTCTTTTATATTGTTTGTCAGGTTGCTTTTCTTCGCTACATTCAACAATGGAAGAAAAAGATTGTTTTTGTGCTGAATAAGAGTGACCTGTACCAAGGCACAGATGAGGTTGAAATTAGTATTCACTGCCTATACTTGTCAAGAAAAGCATTCTCTAATAATGCAAGCATAGAGAGGACGTATTTGACTTTTCTGTCAGAGCTTTCTCTCATTTTCTTTTTCTACATTCTCAATGCAGTTAAATGAAGCTATTGCATTCATCAAAGAGAACACACGAAAGATGCTAAATGCTGAACAGGTCTCATTATACCCTGTTTCTGCTAGAAGTGCTCTTGAGGCAAAGCTTTCTGCTTTTAGTGGTCTAGAAAAACAAGAGGAGCATTCAAATAATCCATATCCAGGGGCTAACAACTTTTCTGATCTTGAGGAGTACCTCTACAGCTTCTTGGACGTATCTACAAATAATGGGATTGAGAGGATAAGGCTTAAACTGCAAACCCCAGTTGAGATTGCTGAGCAGTTACTTTCTTCTTGTCAAAAGCTGGTCACAGATGAGTTCCAGCAAGCTGAACAGGACCTGAAGATGGTGAACAATATTCTCGGTAGTGTAAAAGAGTACTCCTTGGAGATTGAAAATGAGAGCATTTCTTGGAAGAGACAAATTTTATCTCTGGTACGGTCCATCTTTGCTGTATATGTTACTTTTTAGGATTATTTCAGAACTACCCTTTGAGGTTTTGACCGAATTACAGAAATCCATTTTATCTTTTGAATTGAAAATATCCCCTTGATTTTACCATCCCATGTAGTATGCATTATTATAAGTTCCCATGTAGTGCAATATGTAAGATAGAAACTAATATCAGGGGGGGG